GAGGGGAGAGAAAGAAAGAAAGAGGGGAGAGAAAGAAAGAAAAGAGACAGAGGAAGAGAAACAGAGTCAGAAGAGACAGAAAGTGAGAGGAAGAGAGAGAGAGGAAAAGTGAGACAGACGAAGAGGGAAAAAGACAGAGAGTGAGAGAAAGAGAGAGAGAGCAGGGAGAGATCTCACTTGTTGCAGCTGGACTGTTAATGACTAACTTATGATTCCTTCGAGGGCTCGTGCACATCTTCTGGCTGGAGGTGATGTCTCTTCTGAAATTAACATATGGAGCCGTGCGTTTCTTATATAAAAAAAAAACACAATTTATTTTAAATAACAAATCGGGCATCCCACTTTGACAAGCGTAGCTGTGAACGGCCGACTACTCTCAGGCGCCACTCCAGTGACGGGGGGACAGAGGGGCGAGTGGTCACTGCTCCTCCTGAGGAATGTTTTCCCCAAACAGTCCGGGCCTGGGAACCTCCAGCGTGTCGGCCGAGAACCACCTGAGCTTGCTGCCTGTGACAAGAACAAAACCAAAGACTCCTCACTGCTCAGCTGGAGCGGAGAGGGCAGCACTGTTGATGGTCACACACAGTCCGATGCGGAGAGAGGGGCTAACAGGGTGGCAGAGACACAGGAGGCAGGATGAGAGATGTAAGGACGCCTACACCTCATCCTCATTCAGAAGCATGTTCGGTATTCCCTTCGAGATTGGAAATTCCCTCCCGGATTCTGGGCACTTCAGGACACCTTCCACCACCTCGACCTGCGGATAACAGGAGGGCACTGCTCAGTGTTCGACAGGTTTTAAACCGCACGAGCATCTCGTATTTAATCAAAATTGAGGTGGGAACGGACCTCCTCCCCCTCTCTCGTTCTGACTTACAGATTCCAAGGAGTGCCCTGTCACTCCCTGCTCATAGACAGGACATCGCCACCCATAGTCACCCCCATGTTCAATATATCAGATGGGAGGAGTTCACAGCTACACTGTTCCCCCACCAAATACCCCCAGGACAGGGACGGCATGGGGTTAGATACAGGGTACAGCTCCCTCTACACTGTCCCCCATCAAACACCCCCAGGACAGGGACAGCACGGGGTTAGATACAGAGTAAAGCTCCCTCTACACTGTCCCCCATCAAACACCGCCAGGACAGGGACAGCACGGGGTTAGATACAGGGTACAGCTCCCTCTACACTGTCCCCAATCAAACATTCCCAGGACAGGGACAGCACGGGGTTAGATACAGAGTAAAGCTCTCTCTACACTGTTCCCCCATCAAATACCCCCAGGATAGGGACAGCACAGGGTTAGATACAGGGTATAGCTCCCTCTACACTGTCCCCCATCAAACACTTCCAGGACAGGGACAGTACGGGATTAGATATAGAGTAAAACTCTCTCTATGCTGTCCCCCATCAAACACTCCCCAGGACAGGGACAACACGGGGTTAGATACAGAGTAAAGCTCTCTCTTCACTGTCCCCCATCAAACACTCCCAGGACAGGGACAGCACAAGGTTAGACACAGAGTAAAGTTCTCTCGCCACTGTCTCCATCAATGAAGCCTGTGCTGGTCCTGTCCGTGTCTCTGATCCGGGAGGTTTTGGGTGTGATTCTCAGGGTTAGAGGACAGGAGCCGACGGGGCTGATGACTGAATGCAGCACCGAGGGAGAGCCGCACTGTCCGAGGGCCTGCAGAAAGGCTCCGACCGAAGGAGTTGGTGCAGGGTGTGCATTCCCGCCCCGATCACTGGCAGGACCAGAGGACGGGATCTGTCAGGATCCGTGGTCTCAGAAGGAGCTGCTGAGGTTCCCTCCGTCTGGACAAAACCTGGTCTTTGGAGGCAGGGTGGCGAGCGCATCATCCTGACACTTTTCCGAAATCCTGCAGTGGAGGGAGACATGGTGGGCAAGCGAGCGGGCCGAGGGTGACAGATCAGGGTGTAGGGCCCTAGTTATACTAGCGCCTACCTCCAGCAGGACATGGTGCACTTTCTGCAGGAACTCCTCGTTGCTCTGCAGCTCCTGGGGCAGCTCTTTGGGAAGGTCGTTCCCATGTCCAATCTGAGAGAAAGGGAGAGAGAGAGAGTGAGAGAGACAACGGATAACCGCTGGCCGGTTTGAGGTAGCGGTGGCAAACAGGAAGAGGCCATTGGGCCTCTCAGGCCTGTCCCAGCCCATCGACCACAGCCTGTCACCCTCGCCAGCACCCTCCTCCTGTCCCTTCCCTTGTTTGATAGCTTTCAAACCCACTGCAGACCCGGCAGGCGGGAAGAGGTTTACCCTATGGCTGGGGCAGAGTGGGTAGGTAGGATTCCAGAGCGAGGGGTGGGATCAGGAGAAATGTCTTCACTCAGAGGCCGGGGGACTGAAAGCTGCAGAGATAATGTCACTGAAAATATTCGAGGAAATGCACATTTTTGCGTGGGTGCAAGTGGGAACAGTGTCAAGGTAGAGGATCAGCCACGATCTTGTTGAATCATAGAATCGGCCCATCAAGTCTACACCAATCCTCCAAACAGCATCCCACCCAGCCACCTATCTTATCCCTGTAACCCTGCATTTCCCGTGGCTAATCCATACTAACATGCATATCCCTGGACACTATGGGACAATTTAGCATGGCCAATCCACCCTAACCTGCACATCCCTGGACACTATGGGACAATTTAGCA